ATCCGACCCTTAGAAAGCCAGGGTATTGAAAGATTGCATCCCATGCAATTTGATCATAAAAAGGAATTAAGGAAACTCAACATGTCTATCCTGATCAACTTCTTAGATCTCTTGGATATATTAATAAGAAGCCCAGGCAGCATAAAAAGAGAAGAGAAACTGGAAGATTTAAAACTGCTATTTGTTCATGTGCATCACCTTATAAATGAATATCGACCTCACCAAGCAAGAGAGACTTTGAGAGTCATGATGGAAGTGCAGAAACGTCAGCGTTTAGAAACTGCAGAGAGATTTCAGAAACATCTAGAACGAGTTGTAGAAATGATTCAGAATTGCTTGGCTTCTCTGCCAGAAGATTTACCTCATTCAGATGGAGGAATGAGAATAAAAGCTGAACCAATGGACACTGAAGACAGCATAAACTGTATTGGATCGAATGAACAGCAAAGAACAATCTCTAGCGTAAAAAAAGATCAGGTTTTGGATAAAGATGCTAACATGTGTAGCATTATTGATGAAATGACATGAAAAAGCTTTGGATTTGGGATTTTCAGGGAACATGCAACTGATGCCAAGGAATTAGAATATGATGTTTCTTTTCCTTTTGCTATGACTATTTAAACAGTAATGGAACACAATGTATAAATCAGTAAATATTGATAATTTATTTGTTTAGCTTTTGCATGTATATACTTGACTTTAAAGTACATCAGTCTTACTGATAACTTTACCCATTATGCTAATTATACATATCAGTATCCAAATTTTGCTGATGGTCATTATTGAAATATGGAGGTACTTTAAGGAATTTAAATACATGTGATGATTCCTTGTTTAGGTTAAATTAATTTAAACATGTATACAAAGTGAAAGTTAAAACAATAAATATTTTTGTTCTTGTTATGAATGTTTGTGAATTAAAGTAATTGCTTCTGAAGATAAGGAAGCTTGGCGACTAACATTTGTTAAAAAGAATGAAATTCCAAATTCTTTGAGATAACTTTATCTTTAAAATATTTAACAGAAGACTTGATCCAAATTAGCCTTGTATTTTACAGGATGAGCCATATTGCTTCCACCCTATTTAAATATAACTCAATTGTATTGGGTTGTAATACAGTTGTTCTTCAGATCATAACTGCTTGTTAATGCTGACTTAAATATATTTGAATTACTGTGTTGAAATCTTTGTATGTGTGTTTGCTAAAGAACTGGAAGTATAGAAACAGTATAGCCATAGTATGTATATATTCAACATTTATATCACATAACATGCACTGAAAACATTTCTATATTTCTACACAATCAGGAAAAATTTCTATATAAAGTAGTTCTTATGGGCCAAGAAAAAAATATTTGCAAGAACAAATACTAACATATACATACCAAAGAACAAATTAAGTTGTGTATTGTTACAAGGTAATGAAATTATTTTTGATCTCTAGAGATTGAATTTTACCAAATTCCATTATTTTCTGGGGGGAAATGTGAGAGTGGCAGATATTTTTCTGACTTCAATCTATATAGAATTTTTACTTTGCTAGTATGGTGTAACCAGAGGTAGTTTTGTACTAATTAAAAGTATTAGGGAAAGTCAGTAACATTTGGCTTCAATTTGTCTTCACCACCAAGCTTGTATTTCTTTATACCATATATCATGCAATTCAGAAAGTCTTTCAATTCTCAAAAGTAGCTTTCCAAAATAATTCTAATTATTTTTGTGGTGATTTTTAGTGCCCCCCCCTCCATATGTTCATATGTTGGGTATAGATTTTATTTTATTTGGGCTAATTTGAGTTATCTCAAAATTAGAAAATATAGTTTAGCTAACAAAGAGAANAAAAAAAAAAAAAAAAGTAAGCTATTTCTGGCGACCTGCATATCTGCTTTAGAACAGTGAGAAATACCACCAGTGCTTCGTGGTTGATGGGATAAGTATATAAGAATTTTTGTGAACACTGTACCTTTCAAATGAATTGCATTTAAAACTGATGGACATTACGATGGCTGGACATTGTAAATGTTGCTGTTTAACAGATTTGCAAGCTATGATAGTGGGAGGGCTAATATAGAGAGATGTATCTTGGATGAAATCATGCAATATACTAGAAAAGAAATTTTGTGTAATTGAATCCTGTATTTTTGTACCATTTAATTCCTCATCACACACAGTGTAGCTAAGCTTTGTATAACTTAATAAATATTTTATAAATGCAGCTGTTCTATGTCTTTTTAAATTCACTATGGGCATTTCTGAATGTGCTGTAAGATATTATATTATGTATTATATATATAATGTATCTTTTTATAAGGCAGCTGATGCTATTTTGTAATGCACTGTCAGTTAAATGCCTCAAATACTACCATCAATTTTTTTCCAAAGAATACTTGCATGCTATATTATAAAGTAACCCTGATATGACCAAATGAGGCTAAATCCCCAAAAGTTACTGCTATCAAGATGTCCATCAATAAATTACACTGAAGTTACATTTTTGCCCATTTTCGCATGTGATTTTATATTCTACAAATGTAGAATATGTCTATAATTCAGAAGTCACTCGGAATTTTGGAACAGCTCAACACATACCTAGCTCCAATGAAAGAGTACATTCTTTTTCTTAAAGAAGGAAAAGATAAAATGACTTTTAACATGGAAGAGTTATGTTATCAGAGACAGCTACCAGAGACAGCTAACTCAGCTACCATTTTCTAAAATTGTTAATATAGTTATAATCTCATTACAGGAAGCCTTACCATGGCTTTAAAAATTGTAACTGTCATCCCTGGCACAGAAAGTTCTTTCTCGTCTTGCGTTTAGCACGCAATTGCCATTAGCGTTAATGAAAGGTTTGTATGTAATCAGGGGAAGAATTAACCCCAGAAAAACTATCAACAATAAGCATCTGTGTCTTCCAAAATTCATTATACAGTGCACAATGAGGACCTATCTCATCATGAAGGAAAGTACTCATAATGGGTATGTGTGTCCAAGCTTGACTCCCTGCATAAGTCCACCAGCATCTCATAACTGGCTTCCTTATTATAAGATGCAAATTACTATTGCAGACAAAACTCCCCCCCCCCCCGAAAATCTGACCTTACATACACTGACGTATGCAAGCAAACTATGCATATGCCTGCAGTCTAATAGGCAAACAGTCTGGCCCTCGGCAAAATTCCAGAATGTGAATTCCAGAAGTACAAGTATTCCCAATCTTTTCAAGTTTGTTGGTTTTTCAAATTAGGATGGTGCCTTTTTGCAAACGGCGCCCAAAGAAGATTTACCAAATAGAACCTAAAACCAGAAAACACAAAGACGGCAACAGCAGACAAATTGAAACAGACTAAAACATAGTCATGAGATCATCGATCACTGAACTGCTGCCCAAAGAAAACCAATTAATTTCACTGACAAAGGCCAACATAAATCAGGGTCTGCCAACAAGGCTTAATAGCTTTCTCTGGAATGGAACTGCAGTTGTGTGGCACAACCAGGGAATACTTTTCATGAAAGGTAGCCTCAGGAACCAAAAGTTTGTTCAGAGATGGAGCTCAAAGAGGTATCAGAAGAGCCATAGGAGCATAAGAGATCCTTCAATATCTGCCCTCCTTGGTTACTAAGTGAGGCACTTTACTCCTGTTTTAAGGAAAACCGGAATGCCAATCCGGTTTAATATCAGCATTAAGAACCCTTGTTCTTAGGCCAAATGCTCAGGTATAGTGAGGACAATATAATATTCTCTGCCTATAAACTGCACTGTGTAAACCAATTAAGTATTTTTAGTTTATTTTGCACAATACAGGTAATCCTCAACTTATGACCACAATTGAGCCCAAAATTTATGTTTCTGAGACATTTGTTAAGTTAGTTTTGCCCCATTTTATGACTTTTCTTGCCACATTTGTTAAGTGAATCAGTGCAGTTGTTAAATTAGTAACAGGGCTGTTAAGTGAATCTGGCTTCCCCATTGACTTTACTTGTCGGAAAGTCACAAAATGGTCTCACATGACTCTGGGACACGGAAATGACATACATATGAGTCAGTTGTCAAGCATCTGAATTTTGCTCATGTGACAGTGGGGATGCACACAATGGCCGTAAGTGTGAAAAATGGTCATGAGTCCATTTTTTCAGTGTCATAACTTTGAACTGTCACTAAATGAACTCTTGTAAGTCCAGGACTATCTATAGTCTTCCCCACCCTCCTAATAATATACTAGTTACAAAAGCTTCTCTTCTTGATGTTTGGATTCTGAGAGTTGATAGACACTGATTGTATTATCCTAAATACATTTTTGCAAGTGTAAGATTCAAGTACTTCGTTACGTAATTAAACCAATTACAGTTCTGGTGGCGAGAACAAAAGATGTTCCATGACACATTTTGAATTTTATACTTTTGCAATCGGTGCAGTTTTGATAAAATAAGTCAGAAATTATTGTAAGTCAGCCAATGAAATAACAGTGAGGATTTTTTTTTAATGTAAAAATTCACTTGGGAATTTTTTAAAAATACTATCATCACTAAGACCGGAAGTGGAAGATTAATATGGGGTGAAAAGATCTCTGTTTCCTTTTGAAAGGCCATTTTTTTCCATTCAAAAGAATTTATTTTCCAAATGGGTTAGCCTCTTCTTCTATGAAGGAGAGAACTACCTATGTTGGTAGAACTACCAAATGTTGCAGGCAGGGAAAAGCATATATGATCAGCATATATGACCACCCATTGGGGAATGAATTTCAAAAAAGTCAAGATGGCAGTTGTGATTATGCAACACAAGCCCCTGACTCTAGAAAGTCGTGACCCTCTGCAAAATAGACACAAATTTTACTCATGTCATATGAAGTATTCCTTGCAAGTAATAGCATGCCATTACATTTTGACACATTTTGGCTAGTAATAGTTCTAAGCTGTATAAACAGAGGGATAGAATCAAGATCACATGAAGTGTTTATACCACTTTATAATGCCTTGGTAAGGCCACACTTGGAATACNCCAACATATTGAATCCCTCAGACCAAAACTAATGGATTTTGGATTGATTAAATTTTAAACTAATTGTGGAACTACATGAGTTTGATAAAGCTTAATATGTATCCTAGATGGCCTCAAAAAGAAGTTCTAATGCTTTTGATACTTCTAGTCATATAGGTGGAATAATTTACAGGTGGAATAAAACATCTGTATTCTGTTGTAATATAACACAATATTAATCTGTGTTTTCTATTCATAAAATATCCTTTTACCAGAAACCAATCTTCTGAGTTTATTTCCTCTCTTCCCCAATCTATGATCTTGGCATTTTTATCTCAGGAAATGAGCAGTTTTCCCATCCAAGTATTGGATTTTAACCACATCATTTTACTCCATTGTTTTATTTTTACGAATGCTTCAGAGGATAATGTGAAGTATAAAATTCACACTCAGATGGACAACATGATGCTTCACTGAATCATACTTTAGTAGGAATGAAGTTGAGTATCCAGAACAGAATCCATGCCATAAGAATAATTTTTCTTTGCTGATTCTTTTCTCTTTTTGCATAGTGATATAAAAATGTTGCCTGACTGAGTTTTCCCTTCTGTTCCTCTTATGGCCTAGTGAATTAGGATAAAGCCAGTCTGAACTTCTTTCTAACACTTTTCCAGATTTAAACCATGCTTTTGTTTTTGTTAATTGTCTTTACACTCTCCCCCCTTCATTCTTTCTATGATCCAGATGATAGAAAAAAATTGAATCAGATCAGGTTAAAAAAAGACAAGGCAACTGCTTGGAGTGGAGATAAGATTTTATTTGACAGCAAAACAGGCAATGTAGCCATGAATTAATAAGATAGGTATAGTGATATTTATAGGAAAGCCTGTTCAGGAAGCACTCAACCATCTTTGCTTCGGGGGTACATAGAATGTAGGGTCCAATAGGGAGAAAATACAGCTTTCTCACCCTGTGGGCATGATAAACTTTGCTCCTTTATGTGTTCAGGTGTTAGTTTGGGGGTGATAGGTCTGGTATCAGGTGAATCACATTGTGTGAGTAAAGGATTTCCATGTCTTCAGCAATTTTTCTTTGATTATGGTTAAGTTGCTGCTTTTGTCAATTTCTTAATGAGAAACATCCTTAAGTCAGTTTCTGCCTATCTGTCAATATAGGGGGGAAACTTAAGCAGTCTTTGCCATTATT